ACCAATCAAACAATTCGAGTTGTCGAAAAAGAAAACAATTTATATTGATTGAAAGTATCAGTAAAAACCTAAAAATCAACCAATAATATAAAAATGTAATTAAATAAATCATATACATTAACTACAAATTTAAAGTAATGAAAAAGTAGACTACCAGAATAAGTGGTAAAACTACACCTAATTTTCCTTGAAAAATGACTACCTTTTTTTTTGAAACTGTTGAAAAATGAATACTTTGCAACTTAATGATCATTTTTGTTGAAAAAAGCACTTTTTATCACTATTTCCTCTGCAAGATTTTAGCGAAATATCATTTAGAATGATATTATTATATTGTATAATCACGCATGTTTAAAAATATACGTTAGCTAATGACTATTCTTTTTTCTTTTTTGGGTCAAACGAGGACTTTTACCTACTAATGACTATCCATATTATACTTCTATGTGTTTTTAGTGCTGCATGGGAATGAATACCATTATGGATGCTCAAGACAAACAAACTATCGAGAATGTCAACAAAACCATAATGGTATTCATTCAGATACAATCTAACGTTCAAATTAATCAAAAATATCAGAAGAAATGTAATTATTAAAAATTCTAAATTGAGCTAAAGGTCAGACATGAAACAACGACTTAGCTATTAGCTTAATTTGTTTTTTTTAATGAAGAAACAAAAATTAATAAAGGGTTTTCTATTAAAAATATGTGGAGAATTCGAGAAGTTTGAATATCATTGAATGTAGAATTTAGTTTCTTTGTTAAAGTTTAAAATGTAGAGTTGTGGAGCATCATTTTTCGTTATACTCCATATAAATAGAACTTTACGACATGCTTTAAACTATTCGATATGTAACGTTAACGTGCGGGAGTAGTATAGGGAGTTCATCCACTAGGCGAAGATTATTAATAAAACTAGTAAGTAGTAACAAATGATAATTGCGTTATCAGATGTAAAGTATGTACCAAATGAAAGTTGACCAACGAGATGGTGGTTTAATGATAGAGACACAAAAAATTATATTTTTTGTATTTCGAATTTATTTATGTAAAATTTCGCGAATATCAGAAAAGATTATGATGCAAAACCTCGAAACTCCTACCTT